CTGCATCTACACCAGCATGTTTTCCGTCCCCCAGTGGCAGGGACTCACACAAATGCGCTTTCCACTGAGGCCGTGAGTTCGCACTACATTTTGTACCACACAGTTGCAGTTAGGCCAAGCCGCTTCCCGTACTGCTCCAGAAGCAAATAACAAGAAGCTACTAGGAACAAGGGCGTCTCAAAAACAAGCGCTTCGTACGATCGCGCAGCTTCGAAGCACCGGCCCGAAACGCCAATCCCACTCTCACAGCAAAGGCTGAAGGACACTGCGAATCTCACAAAATAGCTACTATGTAGTGGTTGCTTGCTCCTAGTAGTACGGCCAGGAGCCCCTAGTACCGTTCTTGCTCCTAGTAGCGATGCCAGGAGCCCCTAGTAGCTTCTTGTTCCTAGTAACGCTGCACCTGCGCAGCAAAATCATCCAAGCTTCAACACGTGACGTTTCCATACGTTTCCACACGCCATGCTTCCATCCAAAACCGACGACGACACAACACACATGACGCAAAGACAGGTCCAACCCTCATATCCCCAGACTATACATGGGAACCCTTCGCTACGCATTCAGAAAAAGAGAAGACGTGAAGATATATTTCGGCCAGCCCTCTGTGAGAACACTTTGCTCAAACTCTTCAATCAACTCTCCTGAGTTGCAGTCTTCCACGATCCAACGACCGCGGCCAGCACTTGGTCTGTGTCATGGCCTGGAAAAAAAACAGATTCTGGGCAATCAAAAAAATAAAATGGAATCTTCTTGGCTTTCCAAGGGGCTAATAAGCTGCATAGCCATTCGGTCTCTGGTCACCTTGAGTAATTTCATTTCGCCGTTTGTGCCTGTGTACGTGTTCTCTCTTCGCTGCAGGTTGTGCGGGCACTCAGCATGGGACCAACATGTACCTGTCTGCTTTGTATTTGAACTTGTTGAATTCCTCTCAAGATCAAGACGAGCAAGGACGCTACTAGGGGCCTCTTTGATTCATTTGATTGTGAAATGTCGCACTCAGTCAGCCCTGCTGGTCCAGTTTCTGACTGGTTTAATTTCAGAGGCACGCTTCTTGCAGTGACATGGGATCATGAAATGCCTCTTTGTGTTGTTCTTCTTGCTTTTGCCTCACCTGAGCGACTGAGCATTTGTGCAATTTCTCTTGACGAATGCGATTTCCTAGGTTCCTTTTGAAAGGACATATATTAAAAAAAGCTCTAACGCCTCAAGAGAAAAACAACCGAAAACAATGAACAAAAATACTGGTGCAAAGAAAAGTAGTAAACAAGCCAAAACACAATGGCACCATTCTAGCTTGCCTTGTTAAACCGCCTGGCGCCTATCTGAATGAGTCCTGTTTTGGCCCCGAGCAGTCTCCAAGTGATTCTCATATGCCTCAACGAGCTTCCAGGTCAAAATGCGTCGCAGTCTTATCTCATCTGTCCTCTTTTTCTTTTTCATCCAAAAGTGTGGTCACACTAGGCATTCTTATGGTAGTAGTTCAGGTTGGGTTTGCTCGAGGGTGGAAGTGCCTTTGTTGCAAAAGGCCGCAGCAGGGCTGTGGAATGTGAATGTTGATGTGCAGATTTCGTGGCAGGGGCAGCGATTTCGTGGCGCAAAGCGATTCTGTGTTCTCATACATGTCTGCTCCCATATTATGCGCACTCTCACTTGTGATGCTCTAATATTGGTGTTCTCATATGTGTGTTCTCATGCATGCGCCCTCATGTATGTGCTCTAGAGCGCGGGTCTTGTTTTGTTCTCTTCAACACTGTTTGGTGTCTCTTGCCAGGATAATGTCCTTCCTTTGCTTAGACCTTTAGCCTTTAGACCTTCCTTCCTTCCTTCCTTCCCTTTTCTTTTCTGAGTATCATTCTTAACAATGAACATGTTCCCTCAGTGGGTGCCAGTTGGCACGTTCGCAGCTGACATAGCAGTACTCAGAAAGCATTGAGAGTTCTTTTCTGCTTGTGGCGGCGCAAGGGGCTGCGAGCTGTTGCCCTTCCAATTCGTTGAGAGCGTCTGCAACGTCTGCGGGTCTAGAGCCAACTGACACCTGACTGCGCGTTGGCGCTGTGAACCATCGTGTGCCAATGGTGTGCCCACGGCATGTAAACGCTTCGTTCGTTGCCAGCCGCTTCATGACGATGTGATATGTTTTTGGCACGGCGGGATTCTGTTGTGCTCCGAAGGGTTCCTTCATCTGCTCCCTTCCTTGTTGGAACTCTTTTCTGAAGCAGCTTTTGCATTTCTTTTTGTAGTCTGAAACTCGCATGCGAGTTGGTATGAGCTTTCTGCAAAGTTCTCCGCAAACCTTCCAATTCAACAGGACGAGTACCATGAAACGAATCATTTTTGCAACGCTTGCAAGGCCTACAACTCACTTCTAAGAATTTTGCATGAGACATTCGATTGGATAAGTTCAACAGAACCCATCATCCGAGCCATGTGCCAGCTGGTTCCAAGCTGTAAGGCATTGCCTCAGCAAGTAGCAAAGCACAGCCAGTTCGCCGACAACAGCGATGGCCTCCAACCTAGTAGCGACGACCTCTAACCTATTAGCCTCCAACCTAATGCACTGAAGACTCCAGCCGTGCGGAATTGAACAGTAGGATCTTCCTTCTCCCTGCACCGCTCGGCGCTGCGCTGCTCTGCATCGCAGGTTCCTCCTTCCCCTTTGCTCCTAGTAGCTTCTTGTTCCTAGTAGTATGGCCAGGAGCTACTAGTAGCGTCCTTGTTCCTAGTAGCGATGCCCTTTGCTCCTAGTAGCTTCCTTCTTCCTTTATTTCTTTAGACCATTGGTTTGCCCTAGTAACGTAGAACATGTAGAAAGGACAAGCGAGGAGTGGTAAAGGGCTGGTGAACCTCGAATGCCTAAAACCGACGATGCAGCCTAGGTGGAACTTGCAACTCAGTGGGGCAAGCTCAGTGTGCTGTCTGGCTGTGCCTTCGACTAATGTCGCCATGAACTTGTCTTTGGCATCACCTGATCAAGAGAATGGACGAATTATTCAAAAATTATGCACAAGTGTGACCCTCAACAGCGCGTGTGGATGGACATGTCAAATAGCAGAAACTTGCAAGAACTGTGCAACCGTAGAACATGACAAACCTATGCATGCAAGAACCATCTGCGAAACGTTGATGGAACTCAGCAATCTCCTCCGGAACCTCCTCCGGAATTGTCCGCAACCCTAAACCTTCAATAGGCCCTACCAGTGAGCACGATTCCCGGAACTTCCAGAATCTGGCAACCACGTCGGAAAGAGCTTATGTTGGCTTAGACACCAAAGCTGTCCAAAGCTTTCAACTGTTTCGATTTCATGACCAACAGTTTGGTTGATGCTCCCAAGCACTTGGGCCAAAACCATGAAGTTGTCGCATTTGTCGCACCTCCTCCTGGAAAAGGGAAGAGGTTTCAAACAACCATTGCAACCAACGACACAATTTATTGTGTCCTCGTGGGCCTGCTGCGCGTTAGCCTGTTTCCGCGAAAGGTTTTCCTCCTGCCAGTTGCCACGTGGCAGCAATGGTGTGAAATTATCCAACCAATGCCTTTTGATACAATATGGAGTGGCACAACATCATTGAACATGCCCGACTCTCCTTAGCTGCTGTTCTCCACCATCCAAAGACTGCAACCTGTAGGAGGTTGTTGTCTTGACCTTCAAGAGATTTGCAACTGCAAACTCTTTGCGGTTCTTGCCTGTGAAAGTGCAAAGTAACTTATAAAAAAACTCTTGAGATCATACCCCACTCAAAAAGCAAAGTCCTAGTTCTTGAACAAACTTCTTTCCACTCCACCAAAGTGAGGCGCTACAGCACCTTCTAATCTGATACATGTCCGCCCCAGTGACAAAACTCAAAAATACCGACAACTCATGCCCGTTTTGTCCTTCGGGTTATGCGGACGCAAGGGGCGCAAACACAAAGGCTGTTCCACAACCTAGTCTCACCTATGCACTCGAGAATGCCTATGAACGAGCATGCGTTCATACGCAACCAACTCTGCGCAGTTCTTCTAGTCTTGTTCGGCGATTGGCGCTGCAGCTCGAGAAGGATGATGCACTCCCCCCAGCGCGCACATCAGTAGGGTCGGTTTCATCGACTTGGTCAAGCAGCCTGCCACCATCATGGTTCCGGTCTTCCTCCCTTCGGCATCAATGGAATGGTACTGGCGAGGTGCATGCTCTCGCGTGACATCCCCCCCACTACCAGCTGGCAATGTGACCTTTCGTGCCAGCAATCTGGGCGCCGCAAAAGGTCTGCAAAGTAGACCACGGGACACGTTTCATGGTGGTCGATGCGCAGGAATCACGTTGCAACTGGTCTGGTTCTCGCAAGCGCGAGCTCGTAGCTAGGAAGTGGCATCTTCCTTGCTGCGTCAGTCCATGTTCTCCTGAGAACGACGCATCGAACCCTGCGCAGCAAACACACACTCGGGAACACACACTCTTGGCCTTGAGGGCTGACAATTCCTCACGTAGTTTCCCCTTGCCTCTTACCTTTGCCCTTGTGGCTTCTCCAGTCAGTCTGGCGCCAATCAATCAAATCTACGAACTCGGACACAGCGTTGGGCGCAATGGTCTTTCTTGGCTTGGTCGACATCATCGAAAAGGTCGACCTCAAAAGTCGGGCTTGGTTAGACCTTCGGACACTTCGTCATCTCCATCGTATTCGCCTAGCAAACCTACGAATTGTTCACCTGCGACATAGGCAGAACGGGTCGAGAATCCCTTTCCTGTGTTAGAGCCCTTGTATAGTCTTTTCCCTTGTCCATTGAAGGTCGGAGAAAGCCCTGCCCATGAACGATTCCCTTCACGAAAACGAACGCTACTATAAATATACTAGTCAACATCGCCGCCGTCGTCGTTGTTGTCCAGCATGGGGCAACACTCTCTCCGGCGGGCGACGACTCAACGGATCCTGTGCCTTTTGTCGTGCGCTACTAGGAGCAAGGACGCTACTAGGGGCTCCTGGCCTTACTACTAGTAGCATTCTTGCTACTAGGAGCAAAGGGCATCGCTACTAGGAGCAAGGACGCTACTAGGGGCTCCTATTTCCTTGGCTTCTTCTTGTGCTCGAGGGCTGAATATCACGTGGTTACCTCAATAGCCTCTCCTGCGAGTCTTCAAATACAATGCCTCGGATCAGTCTGCTGCGCGCTCGAAGTGTCTGACTTCACTTCCTGGACTTCGGATCAGCCTCAGGCACTCTAGTAGTAACAGGTGCCACGCTAGTAGTAACAGGAAGCTAGTAGTAACAAGGGCATCGCTTCTAGTAACAACTCTGTCGCTTTTGCTTTGGTTTTGCTTTTGCCTTCGGTATTTCCATAGTCGGTACCTCTTTGCCCTCTTCAGAGTCCTTGAGCAGCATGCTCACGGGCTTGTTAGCTCCTTGGCGTGAATTTCGCTCTTACTTAACGGATCCTCAGTTTGGCTTGAAATTCCCAGTCATGGTATCCCTGCGGATCGCCAAGTAGTAAATCACCGTGTTTGGTCTCCAAAGGACCTGTCCAACTGCAACAAACGTGTTCGACGAATGCGACGAATTGCGCAAGTGAGTGCAGACGTTGCGTACACTAGTAACAAAAAGCTACTAGGGGCTCCTGGCCTTACTACTACGAGGAAGGACGCTACTAGGGGCTCCTGGCATCGCTACTAGGAGCAAGAATGCTACGAACGGCTCCTGGCAACAACAACTTGCGAAGCGTGCCCTGGATCTGGCTCCGTCCCTAGCGGGCGGCCAACCGCTCCGCTACCAATATGTTTGGTCCCTACGTGGATGCAACTCAAGGGGCCTCTTGGTTGTTCCACAACCTAGTCTCACCTCCGTGCTCGAGAATGCCAAGTGAACGAGCATGCGTTCAGACGGTCTTTAAAATTCTTTCATTGTGGGTTCTTTCTTTCTTTCTTTCAGTCATTTGTTTTCTTTTTCCTTCCGTTCCTTCCCTTCTCGTTTTTTAGTGTTACTTGTTTTTCTCTGTTAGGCCTTTTCAAGTCTGCCTTTTGACCATTTCAACTTTGGGGAGATCCAGCATCAGTTGCTATGGCAACGAAAGGAGCGAACTGGGAGGATGAACTGCGACTTTGTGCACAGAAGCCTTCTTAGGAGTGAGTGCTAGCTTCTAGAGAAAGTGAAGAAAAAGTGAAGAAGAAACGCTCGAGTCGGTGCCAAATGTGTTTCGGAACCATGGCATGCGAAGATGCATGGAAGACTGCGGTTTCATTGGCACACGTTCTGTAGTCTCCTCCCCAAGTTGTGTCGCATCAAAGGTCTACAGGTCTTGATCACCTTGCCCCATGGCAGGTAAAATAGGAGAACTGAAAGGAACACAACAAAGTACACGAGCGTGCTGAGAAAGGAAAGGAAGAAAGAAAGGAAGGCCCAGGATGGCAGGCATGCAGGAAAAGGTTGACACAAAGAAGCAGAAAAACAATGATAGCGCTGATGCCGCCAAGAATGTTCACATGGCCACAAAGGTCAACCCTTTGTGAATCTTTTCTTTGTTTCCTTAATTTGTTCTTCCTTCCTTCCGCTACTAGGTTGGAGGCCATCGCTATTAGGTGGGAGGCCATCTAGGTGGGAGGCCATCGCTAGTTCCTTGTCTATTGTATTCTATTTTGTTCTTCCTTCCTTGCTTCTAGTAGCGATGCCACGACCCCCTAGTAGTTTCTTGTTCCTAGTAGTACGGCCAGGAGCCCCTAGTAGCGTCCTTGCTCCTAGTAGCGATGCCCTTTGCTCCTAATAGCTTCTTGTTCCTCGTGTGTATCTTCTGTGTTTTTTCAGCTCCAAGTAGCCAATGAGCTGCGTGACCACCCGGTTCATGGTGGCCTCGGTGATTTTAGTTTACACGCGAGGTGCGCCGCCGGTGCATGTGCTTCAGTGCTCGTCTTGGCAGGGGACTACCATGTTTGTGTCTGCCCTGGACTTGAGCTGGTGGAGCTCCTTGCAAATCACAGATTGGAGGCCATCGCTACTAGGTTGCAGACCATTGCTATTAGTAACTCAAACCCTTTAAGTTCCTGTAGTAGCGTCCCTGCTCCTAGATGGTTTCTTAGGACCTTGCCCCTTAGGCCTTTGGCATCCACACATCGTGTTCGCTCGCGCCTTGTCCACTTTGCGCTTTTCTTCAGCCTGATCCGCAGCGACGAATCTGGCGACTCCGTACCTTTCACCAATCTCTCTCAGGCCATCCGTCCTTACTAGTGACAAGTGCCACGCTAGTAGTAACAAGTGCCTTACTAGTAGTAACAAG